AACAGTCCAGACAACCCAAAACAATAAATTACGTACATACACTCAGTTCAAACCTACATATAAATTTGAACCATATTTGAATCAAGTAAAAAATGCACAACATAGAACCAGCTTCACCAAATTTAGCATATCTGCACATACCCTACCAATTGAAAAACTTAGATATCAAGGGATACCTCCAGAGGAAAGAAAGTGCCAACTTTGTAACAATGGGGCTATTGGCAATGAAATCCATGCACTTTTAGACTGTAACCATACTGGAATAACAAATGCTCGTACTGAATTTCTGAATGTAGTTAGCATTTATAATGAAAGTATCCTTAAACTATCAAAACAACAAATGTTTACAGAAATTTTAAGTTCGAGAGATGGGTTCATTGCCAATAGTGCTAGCAAATTTATTGACAGCATACTATTTTACTATAAGTAATTTTACTTAGACTTTAGTTATTTATGTATTTTCTTTTGTCTCGTGTGTGTACTTGTGTTTTATTATATTTAATGTCTTTTGACCACAGATAATGTAACAAAATATATTATTTAGTGTCAAATAAAATATACTATACTATACTATAGACAGGGGGATTCGGTGCCAGTCTTGGAATATAGACATGAGGATCTGGTGCCAGTCTTGACATATAGACAGTGGGATTCGGTGCCAGTCTTGGAATATAGACAGGGAGATTCGGTGCCAGTCTTGGCATATAGACAGGGAGATTCGGTGCCAGTCTTGGCAAATATGTCATTGAATTCACATTATACAGAGTCGAATAAAACTTTACGTTTGGCTTTCTGTGTAGCTCCGAAGGCGTTTAGAATTGTCATGAATGCCGAAAAATTACTCGCGATGTGTGGCGTAATTACCTAGATCATTTTCCGAGTTAACACTATGTGTATTTCATACTATAAGCCAATTGTACAAATGTCATCTCACCCGAAGGAATATCTTCCGCATAATTTTGACAATATTTAACTAATTAAATTCGTGGAAATGTTGAGAATAGGTTTCTTGACATATCCACTGTTTCCACCATATATTTCATTTAATTTGATTTAGATCAGTTGTAACACCAATGCAAGCATTTCAAGAATGTGTGTGTGATCACGTTTTTCTTAAATTTGTCAGTTCACAGAAAACGTATGAATAGCGGCTATTGCAACTGTTATGCGGAAGTCATCTTTGCTTATATTCCGTGGCATCTTCAATGGCAGATTTACAGTAGAAGGTGCGCGCGCCCTCTCTAAACTCATGGCTACGTATGCACAAATATACCACAATGCAACGCGGCAATGGCGTGATTGTAAAGGTGCCTAACAAGAACCAATGAAATTTTTTAAATATTTGTTTTCTCAGGTGTTTCCTGTTTGAGGGCGTAATCACCTGGGTCAGAGGTGAGACCAACATGTGGTCTTTTGTTTACTACTTAGCGGCTGTGTACCTGTGGGTTTATTCTGTGTGTATTTGTATGTTCTAATCTTGGTGTTTTTCCAGTGATGCAATCCAAATACAGTAGGTGTGTCTTGTTTACCCGAGTTTGAGCTGGCTAACATGATAGTTTTCTTCATATGGTTGATTACTGGCATGTTGATTTCCCATTTTTGAGCCATATTTTCAACTTTCTTCGTCATTTTCATATAGCAATCTTGTCATATGTTAACATTGTCGTCTATAGAAATTCAATTAGTGGTATGAGCCCTTTATAACTGATCATACCGTATCAACATCTGATCGTTAAATTAAAGAGATGTAGTTTCTTTCAATTCAGTAATTTCTATGAATAATGTAGCAAACAGGACTACAATAATAGAGACGTAACCATAGCAACATAAGACGTAATTAACAGATATCACGCATCTGGACATCGTTTGAAAATAAACAAAATAGAACGATATATTTCAATGCAGTATGGTCAAAACATAACTAAATAAAGATATTGGGTTTTATATTCATGAACTCATTGTGAAGGATTGCCTTCTTTCATTTGCAATAAGGGATTGGTCAGTTACTTCAGCCTAGGGTGGTCGGCAGATTCCATTTTGCTAGCTGTAAATCTCAGTTGACCCACCCCCTATCAAATAAAAAAAAAAGTGGGTGATCCACCCCATCATTATATTTCAAAACATGCTGCCCCCCTGAAAAATTATTACAAAATGTACATTGTAAATCTTAAAGACCAGGAACTTCTGAATGCTCTACATCCGAAGCACAGTCTGTGCTTATGAAAACAAAGGAAACTTTTATTTTTGTTTAAATTTGTGTTGGATTTTGGCATTTAACAGTCTGAGAGCAAAATATGCATATTTAATAGTTAAAAAAAAGTTTTTATTTATTTTTTCATCATTTATTTTAATTTATATATCATAATTTTGACAAATTTAACATTTTTGATTTGCTCAACAAAAACTGTCACAGCTCTTTGTACTAATTGCTGTGTTGTCTTTCCATCTCCTGTTATAATTTGATAAATCCAGTAAATATCTTATGCAATGGTGTCTTCAGACTTCAAATAAAATAATCTAATATCAGCAGCACATAGACTTGTAACATTATAATTGGGGTTCAAGCTGCATTGCATAATCTGTTAGGTATTTGGCAACTTCAACTCCAAAATATTTAGCCTATAACTTTTCTTTCATAAATGTATAGGCAATATAGGTAATAGTACATTTGTACATTAACTTTTTCATTCTTTGTTCTGAAATAACTTTAAAAAAATATATGCATAAGCGTGTGTGTGAATTCTGGAAAACATGGTGACCCTTAATTATTCGTTATATCAAAAACAGGGTGACACCCCCCCCCCCCATTTGCAAAACCAAAAACAGGGTGACCCCCCCCCCCATTTGCAAAATCAAAAACAGGGTGACCCCCCCCCCCCCCATTTGCAAAATCAATAACAGGGTAACCCCGACCTCCCCTCCACCCCCCTTACCGGTCCACCGACTCCTCCTAGGCCGAAGTAACTGACAAATCCCTAACTAAGAGAATGAGTGTGACGAAATGTTATGAGTCCCATGTCGGAACGGAAGCGGCGCAACTACCACCGCCCTTTAAGCTGAACGCGAATATATACTTCCCAAATTGTTAAAAGACAAAAATGAACACTGTATTTTGTTGTTGTTGAAAAATTATACTTGCTATATGTAAATTATGTACAAGTCAAATGTTGTGAATAAATTATAGAATATGTGATAAAACAAACACACGCAACCCATGGACGGAAAGATTTAATTGAATAGAAGAGTTTTCAAAAGATAAATTCCTATAAACACGAACGCTGAGGCGTGCAATTGAGAACGTATTGTGGGTCTAAACTGTATAGACTTATCGTCGTTTGATTGCTATATAGATATGTGTTTATTGGAGTGACGATTTGAATACTTGCAGCTACAAAGTGTCTGTCGTATTTTCAGAAAATACCTAAGTAAATATATAGTCATTAAATGCATTCTTTTCCACGGTTGATATTTTGATATAGCAATATATATATATATATATATATACACGTAAAGGAATATACAGGAAACATAAAACGCATAAAACATATTTTTGAAAATAGTAAATAATAGAAGTTTAGTAACTTCACATCATCTTTCGTGTGAATGACAGTTTTCGTACCACTCCACAAATATAAACTCAATCGTTAAATTGTCTTATCACTGTGCAATGACACAATCATAAGCTTGATAGAATGAGGCTCAGAGATGGGGATGTTGATAGTGTACCCAACGTAAACAAATCTATTCATCGAAGCGACAGTAAATCATTTTATATATTACAAACAATTAAAAATAATGCATATTTAAAAATGTTTTTTTTTTTTAAATCATCACTGCAAATAAAATATACCCTGATCAAGTAAGAAATCGAGTTCAAGTTCAAATCCTCTCATTTTTGAATCTATGAGTTAGGATTCACTTCATTGTATGACGGCGGAGGGGCAGATGGTGCTGCTGACGCCGATGTGTATGATGCTGGTGCTTCGCCGACCATTGTCGGTGGCGGGTACACCATGTCATTTCCGCCGCTACCCGGTGCCATTGACGGAGGTGGATATGGCGACTGATCAGTAGTTGGTGCATTGTATGCATTCATGGATGGAGGAGGGTAAGCCATATCCCCCTGGACCGGGGGAAGTGTGTATTGCGAAGGAGGGTACGATGTGTTGTTGTAATTAGCATAATTGTATCCACCGCCTGGGGGACCGCCGCCATATCCGTAAGCCGGTGGGGGTGGTGGGTAATATCCAGCAGGAGGTTGAGGTTGTGCATTGTATGAAACTGTGAACACAGTGGGTCTGTAAAAAATAATATTACATTTTATTAAATTCGATAATAAGGATATCTCGGTGACATAACAATGTAATATCAAGTGATCACACCTTGGGCAAAACAACGTTGTTGTTTAAGATACCTCGGGTTGATCTTGTGAACCGCGACTGTTAATTACTGTTGATGTTGAATTAATGATCAAAATTATTTGTTGCCGGATGACATAATTTCTAACTTTGACAATTATGTGTGTTGTAAATATTTTTTTTGGATGTCAATTTAATGGTTCTAATCTTCTGTGTCTCTATATAATACAGTTTATAGGATGACTCTGATGAAATAAACATCACAGTAGCACACTTACTGGGTGTCATTTGGCTTGGGTCTTGCTGTGGTACCAGTACTTGTGGCCATTCGTGTAGTTGTACTCGACGGAGATGTAGCCGCTGGCTTCTTTTTACAACAACAGCAACACACTGCGATGATTATTATAATGATGATAAGAGACCCAAATACACCACCAAGAATCACTCCAAGATTATCTATAAAATACATAGTTGTAATAGTTAGACATAGTCACGTGATGAATGGAAACAAAGACTCCATTGTATATACAACACAACATTACCTGGTGAGCTGCATTCATGTTCATCGGAGTTATCTCCACAATTATCTAGGTCATCACAGCTTAAACTCTCATGAATACACCTGTGGTTATCACAGTGGAAATCTGCGTCGTTACAGGTGTAATATGACTCTGTAATATGTAAAAAAAAAAAAAAAAACACATAAAACACTTCACAACTATGATTTAAAAATAATGTCAATATTTGCAGTTTAGTAATATTGGGGCTAGTACTGTACTTTTTAAAACTAACTTGAAAGCTGGAAATGGTACAGTTAATAAAGTGACGGCAAATACGTATTGGTAATACCACAGGGTAGCCCGAATCAACCCATCAATACGTATAGGTAATACCACGGGGTAGCCCGAATCAACCCATCGATACGTATAGGTAATACCACGGGGTAGCCCAAATCAACCCATCGATACGATAGGTAATACCATAGGGTAGCCTGAATCAACCCATCGATACGATAGGTAATACCACAAGGTAGCCCGAATCAACCCATCGATATTTATAGTTAATACCATGGGGTAGCCCGAATCAACCCATCGATACGTATAGGTAATACCACGGGGTAGCCCGAATCAACCCATCTATATGTATAGGTAATACCATGGGGTAGCCCGAATCAAGCCATCGATACGTATAGGTAATACCACAGGGTAGCCCGAATCAACCCATCGATACGTATAGGTAATACCATGGGGTAGCCCGAATCAACCCATCGATACATATAGGTAATACCACGGGGTAGCCCGAATCAACCCATCGATATGTATAGGTAATACCACGGGGTAGCCCGAATCAACCCATCGATATGTATAGGTAATACCACGAGGTAGCCCGAATCAACCCATTGATACATATAGGTAATACCATAGTGGTAGCCTGAATCAACCCATCGATACGTAAGGTAATACCACGGGGTAGCCCGAATCAACCCATCGATATGTATAGGTAATACCACGGGGTAGCCCGAATCAACCCATCAATACGATAGGTAATACCACGGGGTAGCCCAAATCAACCCATCGATACGATAGGTAATACCACGGGGTAGCCCGAATCAACCCATCGATACGTATAGTAATACCACGAGGTAGCCCGAATCAACCCATCGATAGCATGTGGCGTTATCTGTACACTAGTGACTTCAATTTAGCTGAAAGTAGAAGGCGAGGTCAAAATAATTCTCTAATTCTTCAAAATATTTTGACAGTGACCACGCAGTAGCCAAAAAGGCTTTACAACTTTACCGTTTAACTCTACCCTCACAACAACAACATTGAAACTTGCAGGCCAGCGGCTTGAACCTTTTCGACTTTCTCGACCAATTTTTTCTGCACTTTTTTCAATATTTCTGGAAATGAACCCTAATTTTGAAGCCAATAGAATATAATATTTTGTGAATTTGTGATGAAAAGCGGGAACTGGTGGTGAAAAAGTTAAAGATTCTATTCTAGTCTACATACCATAATATAATGTATACACAGCTCTGAATCCTCGATAGTCGCCATAATGTGTGTTCACACCAGTCAATGTGATACGCATAGTAGAGGTAGACTGGTATTGAATACCCACGCCGTCGCTTCCATAGAGTGTGTCAACAGGGGTTCCATATTGATCAAAAATTCCAATACTGTCTTCAAAGGGACCTGAATCTAAACATTATATAAATAGCGTTAACAGATGACGTCACGATATATATATCACATTTACAAACTTCCAAAAAATATCCGAGGAAAATATACAGAATATAGTCAGGTACTCCCATGTGTATTGGCAGTTGTCTAGTTTGATAAACTATTTGTGTCTCTGTGATGAACGTTATCAATTGTATATCGTGCATAAAGCTTAGCCAGAACATTGTCTTGGATAGCATATGATATGATGGGTGACTTGCTGTCATGATGATGGCTTACCGTAGAGGTCCACATCTAGAAACTCTATGTGGATTTGTGTATACGGATCGAATGTCACTATGGTGACAGTACACGATATAGGCGATGTGTAGCCACTTGGGTATGATGCATGTGATTGGAGCTCACCTCCTACAGATGATATGCTTTCACTTTCACAAACTACTGAGGAAAAATAATATATATGTATATACATAGACCCGCCAGAAAGTATTTACGCACCTGTCATTAGATCGTTTTCGTAACTAAAAATAACAATTCCGGGTAACATGATGTGTTGACTTTAAAATATACTAAATTTAAGAAGAACTAGTGCATTTTAGTCAAAATAAAATGGTTGATTTGTGTTTAGTTTTTTTGTATGTAGACGTTTTTTCAGTGAGCGAAAATCGCCATGGTTAACTCTTTGGAAGCGCGCTCATTTGCATATCATTTGCATCTCATTAAAACTTCGCGCCATAAAACATGTGCGATAGTCGTGTCCTTTCTCATGCAAATTTGAATCAATTGGGAAGCTGAAATTATTGCAACACGCGCTTCTGGGCGGGAATACCTGTCAGTTGTAGTTCATGAATATTCCTATCGAGGTCATAGTGTCAGATACGTAATTTTTATTTACAAACATTGAGCCATGCCGAAAGTTAGGGAATTGTCAGAATTTACTAAAGGGAACATTGAAGCACTGTATACAGAAGGAGTGTCTAATAGGGAAATTGCAAGAAGACCGGGGATTTCTGAAG